GGCCCGGTTCTGTTCTGTTTAAAGTCTCTTTGTTTTGATGTTTGCCTCCATGTTCTAAAAGCACAGAGGTCCGGTTCTGGCCCGGCGTGGCCGGCCCGAGCTCGGAGTCGGTGATGCATTTCTTCAGCAATAAAAGGTGTGAGAGTTCAACGTGCTGCGTGTTTTCATCCAACAAACTTCTTCTGGTCACGTTTAGTTCGACATCAAAGGAAACGATGAATCTTCAAATAAAAACAGGATGAAAGAAAAAGTTGTTTTCAAAACGGAGCCTGTGGACCTAACGAGCGCTGCCTGCTGATTGGCTGAAGGCCCATCAAAGGAATGACTAAATAAAGTGTTTGTCACAAAAAACACTTTGATCATTTAAGTTTTAAATTAATAAATCCAAAAGGCTTTTTTTAATAATCAGACACATTTTTAAAACAGTTTCTTTTTTAAATGTGGAATAAAAAGTTTTAAAACATTTTAATTGTTCTTTTAAATTGATGCTTTTATTAAAAAAGAGCCAAAATAAAGAAGTTGTTAAATAATTTATTCATAAAACAGTTTTTAATTTCATCATTATTTTCTGTTCGTTCTGACGTTACTCAATATTTACACAGATCTACAGTCCAGAACCTCCCGGTTCTGCCGGCTTTAGAAGCATCGCAGGCTCGGTTTGAAGGATGCGGATCAGAACCAGAACCCAACAACTGTTTTTATTCAACAGAACCACAGGACGGAGGAAAAGTGGGTTTTTCTGTCCTTGTTCTGACCAGAACCTCTGGTGGTCTGGTTCTTTGTTTTGGACTGAGACCTGTCGCCAACAGACAGAACCAGTAAGTCCAAAACCAATATGTCCAGAACCATTCTGATCATTCAGTGGAATAAATACGGGTCAGAACCACTGCTCCGGACTCTTACATTTACACGTCCTCGTTCTGCAGCAAAAAGGAAACTTCCGTCCTCCGAACCGGACTCCTCGTCAGTTCTGTTGAAGTCCGGTTCTGACAGGAGTTAAATCAGGTCCGGGTCTGCGTGCGGTCCACCCTGGATGAGATTTGGGTTTTAGTTCTGCTCAATCTGAGCCTCTAACAGGAAAACGTTCCTCCGTCAGACGCCTGTCAACCGGGTCAAAAGTCCTGTAAACCGGGTCAGAAGTCCTGTAAACCAGGTCAAGAGTCCTGTAAACCGGGTCAAGAGTCCTGTAAACCGGGTCAGAAGTCCTGTAAACCGGGTCAAGAGTCCTGTAAACCGGGTCAGGAGTCCAGAAGGCGTCTGTGCGGTGCCGCGGCAGCCATCACAAGGCGTCTGAGCTGTTGCTGCAGGGGCTGATGAGGCCCAGGTGGGACCCGGCCAGGTTGGACCCGGTCTTGTGCTTCTTCAACAGTCTGGTGATCTTCTCGTCGTCGGAGTTCGGGTCCAGAGGTTTGTTGTACTCGTCGTCCTCCTCGTTGTCGGAACTCTCCTTCATCTTCTCCGTCTCGGAGTCGTGCTTCTTCTTGGCCGAGGCCATTTCTGCCGCGTGTCTCTTCCTCCACTTGGTCCTCCGGTTCTGGAACCAGACCTGTTGGAAGAGAGCAGGTCCAGGTGAGACACTCAGCCTGCAGCCTCGTTATAATTCTATTTACAAGCGTCCGGTTCTACCTTGACTTGGCTCTCGGTCATCCCTAACGAGTAGGCCAGGCGGGCCCGCTCCGGACCCGCCAGGTACTTGGTCTGCTCAAAGGTTTTCTCCAGAGCGAAGATCTGCTGACCCGAGAACGTGGGCCGAGAGTGCTTCTTCTTCCCGTCTTTGTCCACCATGAGGCCGGCCTGAGCTGAGACGCACCCACAAGAGAAACATCATTAAAAACTTATTATTTTCATGAATAAAACATTAACCAATAAAATTATAAAAAAGTCAATAAACGTCTATCTTTACTTCAATGTCAAAAAAAAAAAAATCTTTTTAAAGTTTTCTTAAAATATATATTTTATTATAATTGTTTTTAATTTTTGGCTTTTTTTTAGGCTTTTTTAAAATTATAATATTTACAGTTAATATGACTAAATTCTTATTAAGAATTATAATTAATAACTAAATTGTTTGTTATTTAGCCATGAAAAACTACGTTTTTATTTGTATTAATATTTATACATATTAAACTTTGACAGATTAATAAAAAAATTAAGCCCACATTTACTTATTTATTTTTAAATAAACTATTTAAAATAAACTTTAGTTCAAATAAACTAGTTAAATTTAGTTAAAATAAACTATTTTATTTGCTTTTAGAGTCCTACATTTCTGAACTTAACAGAAATAATTTTGTAAATAATAATAGTATTATTATTTTTGTTAATGTTGTTAATAAGAATTGTATTATTAATACTGTTATTTGTATTATTATTATTGGTCTTATTAATATTATAATTACATCTTTATATTGTTGTTGTTAATAATAGTATTATAACGATCATTATCATTATATCATTATTATTATTATTATCATTATTATTATCATTATTATTATATTATCATTATTATATTATCATTATTATCATTATTATTATTATCATTATTATATTATCAATATTATTATTATTATTATCATTATTATTATTATTATTATAGCCAACGTTCAAAGTGAATGTTGTGAGTCTCCTCCTGTTTGTTTTCTTCTAAAACTGCTGCATTTTATTGCATATTTACATGTTTATTTGTATTTTCTGCAGCCAACAGGTCAATAAATTACAGGTTTTATTTTGGGCCAGAAGAAGCAGCCGGATGTGTCGGAACCGTCCCGGCCCCGGACTCACCCGGGCAGGGCACCCTCGGGTCCCTCCACGGGGACCCCTGCATCACCCCGGGCCAGAAGATGGGCGCCCGCCCCGGGAGCTCGGCCAGCGGCTTCGGGTAGCGGGACACCGCCGGGCCGAAGTACATCCCCGCCGTGGCCAGGCCGTTGATCCGGGGGAAGCCGGACAGCAGCTGCCCGGCGGCGAGGGGCCTCCCCAGGATGTCGCTGATGCCGTGCGGGGTCCCGCCGGAGATGTGCGAGCTGAGGCCGGCCAGGGAGGGCGCCTTGAAGCCCGCCGGGCTCTGCTGCAGCGCGTAGGGGAACAGGCTGCTCTTCATCTCGGCCATGTTGTGCAGCGCGGCCAGCGGCGTGCTGCCCAGGACGAAGGCGCTCTGCCGGTTAGCCTCCATCTGCCCCACCGCTAACATCTGACACACCCGCCCGAGTGGCGGCACGAGGCGGGCACGAGCGAAGCGGAGCCGGCGGGACGACAAGAAAGTCCCGCTGCCGCCCGAAAATGTCCCGCAGGAAACTCTGGAAACTTGTCCCGTCCTGGAAAAACGAGCCGAGATGTCTCCCTGTGGCTGCGGGGCGCGAGGCGCGATCGTCCGCCGCGGGAGTGATGCTGTCAGCGGGTCCGCTCGGAACCATCAAGCTCATAAATGGACCCGGTTCTGCTGCGGGCGCAGCGGGACCCGCTGATAACCGCGGCACGCACCTGCACGCGCTCCGCTCCTATTGGACGAGGCCGAGCGAGGCGGCGCTCTGATTGGAGGAGACGGAAACCCCGTTGATTCCGAGTGCTGCCTTTACGTGCCGTCGGAAACGGGAAGTTTCACGTTGACTGACGGGTTTTCCATTTTAAACACATGTTGCTAATAAGATCCCCAAAGGATCCAAACCGAACCAATGTCTTAACGTAGTTGATTTCTTACAAGTTTTTGTAATTAATTTCATTATTTGGAGCTCTTCAGTGTCTAAATTAATGTTTTTCTTACTTTGTAAAGCGGAAACTAAAGTTAAACATAATTAAAACTGATGTCGGAACATACGGAAATGCGTCAGCAGAAGCGGCTCTCAACGAGAGAGACTTTTTATTTATAGAAACTTTTTCCTCAAAATCAGCTCGTAGATTTTAAATGTCGATTCTAAGCCATCTTTTCAATAAAGTAAACTTGATTAAATTTAGTTTGACGCTACCGGAGCCATTATTCGGTGAAGCTCTCGTTTGTTAAGAGTTGATGAGGCTGAAGTTTTGTCCTGTTTGGATTTAATGTTTCAAAAAGCAGCGGGTCCTTAAAGAACTCTGCTGGACCAGATCAGCTGGTTTTATTGTTACTCACTTTGAGCTCTGACGTGTTTTATGGAGGTGAAATATGGGCTGAGAGCTCCGTCCTCAGATCGAGCCTTTTAAAAGCTTTTCAGCACGAGCTCACTCACTTTTTCTGTTTTTCTTCACACGCGCGCGCTTTCTAATCCTCTAATGGCCCTCAGGTTCTAATTTATACCCGGACTTCCCTCTGACTGCCCGTCCGTGCGTCCTGACCCGGTCTGTGCGTCCTGACCCGGTCCGTGCGTCCTGACCCTGTCCGTGCGTCCTGACCCGGTCCGTGCATCCTGACCCGGTCCGTGCGTCCTGACCCGGTCCATGAAGGGCTGACCCGGTCCGTGCGTCCTGACCCGGTCCCGGTCGCTGCAGGGTCCACCGTCTCCCCCGGAGGTCAGTCAGTTGAAGGAAACCTTCAGAAATGTTAAACTTTAAATTCCTAAAACTCGTAAATTAAAACTCAGACGGAACCGGAAACCAACAACAGATGCAGCTGTCAATCCTTGTTTATTCTGAAAGTTCACAACAACAACAACAACAACAACAACAACAACAACAACAACAACAACAATGTTCTGATCAGAACCTGCAGGTCTTCAGGTGTTTTGAAGGCCTGCGGTTCCGACAAAAACCCAGCTGATTCCATCAGAACAGAGCCTCCGAACCACACAATGAAGCCGAACCGAATCCGCTCATCGGGTTGCAGCATCTCTGGAGGACTTCAGAACACAGTCCAGCTGTAAGTGGACCGACACCGCCCTCTGGTGCCGAACCGGAAACGATAAGATGAGATGAGATGGGATGGATGGATGGATGGATGGATGGATCCTCAGATCTGAGATGATCCTCTGTTTATTAAAAAGTATAAAAGTTTGACTTTAGCTGAAAATATAAATCAGTTTGAAGCAGTTTCGGGGGGGGGGGGGGTGTCTTGTCCCTCAGTAATGAGTGTTTTGCTCCGGTCAGTCATGGTGAACTAAGACTCAAAACACAAAGCTCTGGATTTATGGTCTGTCTACGGCCCAACCCTCACCTGGTCCTGAGGTTTGGATCAGAACCAACAGATCCTGGATCCAAGCAGCTGAATTTAGCTTCGTGCGTGTGTGCGCGCGTGCGTGTGTGTGCGTGTGTGTGTGAGGGGAGATGAAGCAGTTTGGAAGCGAACGGCTCAGGACGAGCTGAAGACAAGATCGTTGTCACCTTGAAGGGACTGAACTGTGAAGACGTGGACGTTTCAAAATGTTCCATGAACACGAGCAGCAGCTCGAGCCAGAGGTGACGGAGCAGGTGGACAACCATCACGGTGCTGCAGAAAAACAGCGTCTCTG